GGTCTATATGAAGACTGTAGGGGTGGATGAAAACTTCCTGGTTTTGTGAAATTAAAGAATGCTACAACTGGAAAATTCTTGGGTAAGTCAGGGCCAGAATTTCTATTTATGAGAAAAAGTTAGCAATTGTGATATGTCATGCAACTGAAAGGTCAGAGGTGAAAAGCACTGGAGGAGAAATAGTGTCAAAACTTGGATTCATGAAGTCTGAGGTACCTCTCAAAAAGTAAGATTCAGCCACAGGTCCAATGTATTTGGGAAACTGAGGGAGCTTTGGAAGTCAAGTATCTTTGTCTTTGTTCTGCCCCCGCCCCTTTCCTTCAGTCCTCAACCCAACGTGCTGCAAAGAATAAATGCTTAGTCAACGTTTGTTGCATGAAGGAAAGAAACTGAATGAACTAGAGCACTTGGAAATTTGAGGATGCAAGAATGTGCCTGGGCTGGGGAGATTTGACCTGGGATTATGAAGAGGGAGGCAGGGTCCAGGGTGAGGTATGATATTGCTGGGGAGGAAGGCAGGAGGAGCAGGATAAGGCATGTGGGCTCCTCTCCAGTGCTTAGCATAGTGCCTGGTGAATAGTCGACACTTAATAAATGCATGTTGACTAATTCCTCAAAAGAAAAAAAGTAGGACTTCAGAGAGTTTAACTGAGTCAGCTAAGCCATATCATCCTGAGAGCGTTTGTTGATGACACCAAAAACACAAGATATAATATAAAATGGAATGGATAAGGTGGCATTTCTAGAATGCTCTATTATCATACTGGTGATATAATAATGCTACTACTACATTTGGATGCTGCCATCTCAGGATCTGATGCGTTGTGGGAAGAAGGAACAACAGTGATGAAGTTGGAAGTTGGGAAGAGTGGCTATACCTTATCAAATATAAAGGAAATCTACATTGTAGATTATATGATTTTGAATGTACTCAAGAGTCAACCTTTGCTGTCTGCCTCAATATTGAGTCCATATAGCCTGATGGACTTTGAGTCAGGAAGACCTGAGTTCAAATCATTCCTTAAACACTTACTAGCTGTGTGTGACTCTGGGCAAATAACTTAACCTCTGTCTGCCTCATTTTCCACAACTATAAAATGAAAGGGGTAGGACCCAGTGGCCTCTGAGGTCCCTTCCAGCTCTACATCTGTAATACTATGATCTAACTCTTCAAGTAGTTAAAAGATAGATAATATAGAATAGAGATCTGTAGTATAGGCATTTCTTAGGTGGTACCATGTAAATCATGGGATTCCCTATGAATTACTTGCTGGCACTAGGCTTATCTGGCATTTCAATAAGGAATCTGCAGTGGAGAGTGCACAGTAAAATTCTTTTGGTTACAAATGACCATAAGTTCTTCTAGGTAATGCTACACTAAGCAGGAAGCTTTCAAAAGTTTCTATGCTGGGTGGAGCCAAGATGGCAGATTAGAGAAAGCCTCCCAGTGAACTCTTACTACATTCCCCTCTGAACAACTTTAAAATAACACCTCAAATAAAATTTTTGGAGAGGCAAAGACATAAAAAGGTCAAAGTGAGATCTTTCTAGCCTAAGAAAACTTAAGATGTTGGCAGAAGTCTGTGGCAGGAGGGTGGAGGCCTGTCTGGGGTCCACATGCTGTATCAGTGGCAACAGTGGCCACAGCAGCAGCAGCAGCAGCTTTAGGAGATCTCAGCCCAGAGATGGTAAGGAGGTCAGACAACTGATCAGAAAGAGATTACAGGGAACTCTGTGCTGGCACTGGGTACAGCTGACATTGATTGGCAACTTTACTGCTCACACACAGTTCTGCGTCACAGTTACAGGGAGGAGAGGAGCACTGGTGGTCTATCACAGGGGAGCAGGGTCCCTGATCTCAGTACTAAAACAAAGAGGAGCACTAGTGTTTGTGGCTGCAGGGGACCAAGGGCCCTTCCTGGGTAAAGATCACAGTGCAGACCAGGAGGGCAATGACCGTACCTCTCCCAGGATCACATTACCTTCGAAGCATCAAAAACATGAGACCCTCAGAACAAGCTCTGAAACGGTAGCACAAAAAAGCCTGAAGTTTGGGATAGTGCCTCCCCACCACCAGGTGAACCGAGCCCAACTTTAACCTAAAGTTCAAAGTAAAAAAAAAAAAAGGCCAAGAAAAGTGAGTGAACAACAACAACAACAAATTTGACGATAAAAAGCTACTATGGTGGCAGGGAAGACCAAGACATAAATTCATAAGAAGACAACATTGTGAAAACAGCTACAACAAAAAATCTCAAAGAATAATGCATTGGCTCTGGAGTCAGGAGGACCTGAGTTCAAATTCCACCTCAGAGAGTTGATACTTGTTAGCTGTGTGACCCTGGGTAAGTCACTTAACTCAGATTGCCTTGCCAAAGAAGAAGAAGAAGCAGAAAGAAACAATTCAAACATTGTGGATCCATAATTAGGATCACAGAAGATTGAGTAGCTTCCATGTTACAGGAGCAGAGGGCTTGGAATATGATATTCTGAAAGGCAAAAGAGCTAAAATTACCTCCAACAATACATACCCAGCAAAACTCAGTGTAATTCTTCAGGAGAAAAAAAATAATTATTTAATGATATAGAAGAATTTCAAACTGTTGAAAAGACCAGAGTTGAACAGAAAACTTGACATTCAAACACAAGACTCAAGAGAGGCATAAAAAGGAAAGCATGAAAGAGTAATCATAAGGAACTCAATAAAGTTAAATTGTTTACATTCCTACATGAGAAGATGATACATATAACTCCTAAGAACTTTATTGTTATTAGGGTAGGTAAAAGGAGTTTATGTAGACAGAGGCATGGATGAGAGTTGAGTATGTTGGAATTCTCCCCCCCTCCCCATCCACCCCCACAAATGAAGGGGTGAGAAAGAGGGATGCACTGGGAGAATGGAAAAAGAGAGGTAGAATGGGGGAAATTTTCTCACATAAAAGAGGCATGCAAGGAAGAGCTTTTACAATGGAGGGGAAAATGGGAGGGGGTAGTGGGCAATGCTTGAACCTCACTCTCATCAGAATTGATTAAAAGAGGAAAGAACATATATACACACTCAGTTGTGTATATGAATGTAACTTACCCAATAAGGAAATAGGAGGGGAAGAGGATAAGAGAAAGGGGGAGGAGGAATGATAAAAGGGAAGGTGGATTGAGGAAGGTAGTAGTTAGAAGCAAAATAGACTTGTCATGAGGGACAGAGAGAGAGGAAGAGAGAGAGAAAGGAGAGATGGAGGAAAATACACAGTAATCCTAACAGTGAATGTGAATGGGATGAGCTCACCCATAAAATAGAAGTGCATAACATAATGGATTAGAAACCAGAATCCAACAATATGTTGTCTATAAGAGACACTTGAAACAGAAAGACACACACAGTTAAAATGAAGAGCTGGAGCAGAATTTAATGTGCTTCAGCTGAAGTAAAAAAGGCAGGGATAGCAATCATGATCTTAGACAAAGCAAAAGTAAAAATAGACCTAACTAAAAGAGATAATCAGGGAAACTACATTTTGCTAAAATGTACCATATCATAACAAGTTTCTCTGATAAAGGCCTAATTTCTCATATATATATACATATATATATGGAACTGAGTCAAATTTATAAAAATAAAAGCCATTTCTCAACTGATAAATGGTCAAAGGATATAAAGAGGCAGTTTTCAGAAGAAACAAAACCATCTATAGTCACATGAAAAGATACTCTAAATCACTATGAGTAGAGAAATACAAATTAAAACAACTCTGAGGTACCACTTCACACCTATCAAAAATAACAAATGGTGGAGGGGATGAGGGAAAATAGGTATATAGGTACACTAATGAACTGTGGATTTGTCCACAGATTGGTCTAACCATTCTGGAAAACAACTTGGTTATATGCCCAAAGGGCTATAAAACTGTGCATGCCCTTTGACCAAGGAGTGCCATTACTAGGTCTGTATCCCAAAGAGATCAAAGAAAAATAAAAAGGACACGTACGTACAAAAATATTTCTAGCAGCTCTTTTTGTAGTGGCAAAGAATTGGAAATCAAGGGGATGTCTATCAATTGGGGAATGGCTGAACAAGTTATGGCATATGACTGTGATAGAGTACTGTTGTGCTCTGTCACAAAGATGATGAGGGAGATGGCTTCAGAAAAACATGGCAAGAACTATATGAACTGATGCAATGAAGAATGTGATACACCTCTAAAGAGAGAAGTGATGAGCTCTGAGTACAAATTGAAGTATAATTTTCTCACTTTATTTTTCTTGTTTTTTTAAAAATATGTCTAATATGGAAATCTGTTTGCATGATTTCACATATATAATTGATATATGGCTTGCTTTTTCATTGAGTAGAATAGGGGTAGAGAAGGAAGGAGAGAATTTGGATGTCAAAATTTAAAAAGAAAATAATTTTCAAAATAAATGAATAATAAATTGAAATGTTTAAAAAAAATTTGTGTGTAAGCATGTTGACGAGTGGTCTTTGAATCTCTGACACATTCCCATTCCCCACCCAACCCCCTCTTGGCCTTTGCTTTGGCCTTTGGCCAGTCACTTTCCTAGGTTTCTGAACCGTTACTGCTCACTCTGTCTAGATTTCTGACCCTTGTTGATTCCTTGTCTGGACCCCTAGCATGTAACTTAGTCTTGTTTTTTGGGGGTCTTGATTCCTACTTTTGAGGCTGCCTCCCTATTTATTTTTGCTTTGTTCCTTCCAAAACCTCATTTTCTGTCTGACCTCTGGATTGTGCTTGCTCCTTGTTCCTGGATAGTGTGTTTGTCTGTTTCTTCCCCACCCACCCTGTTCTGACACATGACTTCACCTAGCTTCACTACTTAAAGGTGAGCTCAGATAGACTAACCTCCTAGGCTTGACTTGGGGTGGCTGCTTGCCTGTTCTTCCAGACTTTATTAAATCATCCCTGGCCATTCACATTTCACCTTTAGCTTATGGCCTGGCCTGACGCCTTGACTGATAATACGAAATGTCCTCATCCACTTACATGTGGGCCAGCTTCTTCCGGGTATCTCCTCTTAGCTGAGCAGTTGGGGACACGTCAATATCAAGGCCTTCCTTTTCTTCTTTCTCTAGCAATTCTCGTAGTACACACTTAAATACACTCTGATACGTCCTGGAGGGTGATGGCTACGAGGCAAGCCACAGAGTAAAAAGTCAGATTCTTCAGGAACGGCACTTTCCTATTTCACCTATTGTACCAGTTTTGTTTTTTAAACTTCTCAAAGGGAGCAAATTATACTACAGTTTGTTATTCAAGAAATTAGCTATGGAAGAATGTTCCTTTTTAGCTTTTTGGGGGGCCATCTCTGTTTCTTTTAAAGAAGATGTGCTTTTTAAAGAGAATTTTCCCTCAATGTCCCCAGAAATCTTTTTAAGAGTGATCAAATTGTCTCTTTTCTCCAATGTGGCACAGGCAGCATGGTGTGGTGACTTCATGAGTCCAGGCACAGAACTGAGACTCAAGACCATGTAAGTCCTGGCTTTGCCACTGATTTGCTGTTTGACTTTATGTAAAGTCACTCGGTCTCTCCAGGATTCTTTCTCCTCATCTATTAAACAAATGGGTTAGACCAGAAGTCGCCTATTGGCCTTAGTAGAACTAAAATCCTATTAATTCCATGAGAAGTCCTTTTCATATGTAAATGATTGCCTAAAACAAAGATCTCCTAGCTTTTTTTTATTGTATACCCTTATCAGTAAACCATTTTTGATCATAGCCTCAACATATGTATATTGAGTTATGAATTATATGTACAGGCTACTGTATTAATCTTTATATACATTATAAAACTCCCAAATGGAAATTTTAAAAGGATGAAATATTTGATTCTAGAGGTAACAGGGAGCCATTGGAATATATTAAACAGTGGATAGAGTGCTGGACCTAGAGTCAGGAAGACCTGAGTTCAGGCCCAGGTTCAGACTCTTACTAGTATAACTGTGGGCAGATCACTTAACCCTGTTTTCCTCAGTTTCCTCATCTGTAAAGTGAGCTGAAGAAGGAAATGGCAAAATACTCCAGTATCTTTGCCAAGTAAACCCCAAATAGGGTCACAAAGAGTCAGACACGACTGGAATGTCTGAACAATAGCAACAAAGCTCTAAGGAATGTTCTCTGTGATCCGTACTGGGTAGAACTTATGGCATATGATGATTTCTTTTAGGTGAAAGAAGGTGTTCTTAGGTAAGGGATTTGAAGGAAGGGATAAGGTGTTAGTAGTTTAAGATGCGTTGTTGTTCAGTCATGTCCAACTCTTTGTGACCATCTCCTTCTCAAGTGGGTTAAGGCAATAGTGACTTGCCCAGGGTCACACAGCTAGTGAATGTCTAAGGCCAGATTTGAACTCATTTCTGCCTGAGCATGCCCACCTAGCTGCCTCTAGTTTAGGGAGTAAGGTTCCATAATAGGATTAGATTTGTCTTAAAAGTGTGAGATTGTTTCCAGATAGTGAAACTGCTTATCTTTTTTTTTCTTCCCTTTTTCCTTTTACAGATTCAAACTTAGAGCTAAAAGGCATAGAAGAGGCCATTTGTTCAAACTCTCACATGAAGTGTTTTACTACTTTGTCACATAACTAGTGCTTTGCTGAGTTGTGACTTTGACTCAAGTCTTTTGATTCTAAGTTTGGGGCTTATTATTCTGCTCCAAATTCATTTGAGGTTTTAAAACTAAGATTTGTGCTAATTCATCTGAATGCTCAAAATTTTATGTTCAATAGTTTTTTTTTAGATGACAGAAGGGGATGGGAAACATATCTTTGGTTGGAATACTGGTGGGCAAAAACTCATATCCTGCCCTACTTATCCTTCCTTTATTCAGAAAAAGATTGGGATTTTGGGTAGACATTGGTCTGTATTCATCACTTTGCTAATAAATGGCAATCCATTGTCAAGGTTCCCCACGTAATAATGGTGAATAGTTATATAATGCTTTGGGGTTCACCGTATGCTTTTCTCCCAGCAATTTTTTCTTCTTACATTAGAGGACCAGGCTAGGACAAAAGGATGGAAGTTACAAGGATACAGATTTTGGATTAATATGGGATTTTATATAGAGTTGCCCACAAATGGAATGAGTTACCTCAGAGGAGTAGTGATCTCTTCATGTGGAAATTGGACCACTCCTAGAGGATGTTGTTGATAGAATCTAATATTTGGGTAAGGATCAGAATAGATGACTTCTAAGCCTCCTCTTAGCTTTAAAATTATGCTGCTAGGTAGCATACATAATATTTTCTGCTTTTTTACGAATGAGGCACTCTAGGCTCACAGAGGTTGTAACTTGCCTGTGATGACATGGCTAATAACTAGTGATGGTGGGATCTGAACCCAAATCCTTTTACTACACAGTCCAGAGATTTCTTTTCTTCTATACTGCACCATAATTTCTGACATCAGTCTTCTAAAGTGGGCTAAATTAACTTAATGTCTGAATTAACTTAATTCTCATCCTTCCTGGAATGGATACACAGGGTGTGGTTTGTAGCTAGTATCTTTTTTTATTCTCTCAACTTTACTCCATTTGTATAATGCAGGGATTTAAACTTGACGTCTGTAAATTTACTTTTTTTATAACTGTATTTCAATATAATTGATTTCCTTGGTAATCCTTATGTATTTTATTTTATACTTCCCAAAAACATTATTCTGAGAAGGGCTCCATGGGCTTTACCAGATAGCTAGAGGAGTCGATGACACAGAAAAGTTAGGAATCCCTAACATAAAGCAATTAGAAACCAGTCCTTCCAGATCTTTAGTGATAGTTGGAGTCACGGATGCTTTGGAGTATTTCATAAAAACAGCTTGATAGTGAAGTAAAAGGGTTAAAGTCTGGCAGATTTATGTCATGCAATTGATCAGAAGTGTGAAGCTGCCAAAGTTGAGGAGGTTTATCTAGGGATATTTGGCAGTAGGGGAAGTAAGAAAAAGATTTCTAAAAATGCACACTTGGTCTCAGATGGAACCAACTGGACTAACAACTCACAAAGTATTTATCCTACTCATGGTACTGCCTCTGTTCTATAGAAACAGTTTCTTGGTGGGTTTAGGGTTGATGACAAACCATTGTGCTTGTTACTGGAATTGTCTAATGACAAGGTTGACCTCAGTTCTCTGTTGCTGGAGTTCCTGGCTTTGAGGACCTGGAAAAATGACTTTCTTAGGCTCAGTCATAGATTTAGAGCTGGGAGGGACCTCAGAGAATAGCTAGGCCAACCCCCTCTTCTTATAGATGAGGCCAATGGGTAGCAAGTGGCAGGTCTTCTGCCTCCAAAACCAACACTCTTCTTTGTCATAGTATTACGTTGCCTTCTGTTTCATGTCCAGTTACCATTCCTTCTCTGTTACTCCTAAGTCTCTTGGGACAGTGGAAGCGAAGACCTTATGTCAAGCAATTGTTTTGTGGGGCTGCTGGCTCTAACTTCCTTTATATTCTGATTTCTCAGGCATGAAGCCTTGACACATCTGAACCCAGAGGATCCCAGTGGCTGGATGAACCCTTCTGTGCAGAGGGTCTCTTCGTTCGTGGTGAATATGGTAGTTACAACCTCACTCCTTAAAGCTCTATGTGTGGGTATTGTGTCCACTTTCCCAATGAAGCTTGAGCAAATGTGGTCAATGTTTGGGCTGCTGAATTTCTATAGATTTAGCTAGCCTGGTCCTCGTATGACAGATGCACATGCAATCAACCAGGTCTATACTTGAAGTTTTTCTAATCTGATAGGACCCCAAAGAAGACTTTCACTGGCAAAGCTTTTGAGAACCTAGAGTCATTCCCACGTAACTATGAAGTATCACAGTAGGAGTTCAGTGGAAGAACAATAACAATCTATTGTTCATATATGAAAATGATACTTCTAGCTTATTGGTAAGTGGTGCTATGGTATGGTGGAAAGAGCACTGGATTTAGATTCTAAGGATCTGGGTTCAAATCCCACCTCTTCTATTTACTGTCTATGTGACTTCGGGCAAATCACTTCACTTCTCTGGTCTCAGTCTCTTTATCTGTAAAGTGAAAGGATTTGACTAGTTGATATTTGAAGTACCTTCTAGCTTGTAATCTACGATTCTATGCCAATGGCTGCTTTGGATTATTTATTTTTTTTAATAATTACAAAGGTTTTATAGCAAATGGCCCCTAGAATAAGCTGTCTCTCAATACAGTGCCTGTCACATGGTAGGCACTTAAGTGTTTGTGGGATTGAATGTAGTCAATTGTGATTTGAGAAGAAAGAAAAACAATGTAGAAGAATGAAACGAAGTTGGGTTAGCTAAAAATTTTCATGTGCACCAGAAATCATATTGGTTCGTGGCCATTTCAAATTTAAGAATGACAGATGTCCTTTCACTGCCCTCCCCTCCCATTTCTGCTTACTTTCCATTAGCATTTTGGCTTTGCCCTTGGAACACTGTAGAATGAATGCAGAGAAACCTTGCTTATGACTGTTAATACTTACGATTCTGCCTTGGGGTTTTGACTGTTTATCTCTAGGTGTTTCTTGACTGTTGCTTTCCTCTTTTTTCTTAAAACACACACACACACACACACACACACACATATACAACACTTTAAATTTTGTGTCAGCAATATTCATTTTTTTAGAGAATGATGAGAAAAAAAAAACCACATGGCTTAATATTCTTGTTTTGTCTTGGGCCTCTCCAACCTACGAACACATTTGAGTAGCTGGCTCACACCATTGTTGAATGGGAAAGACCTCCTCACCTCCTAGAGAGTTGTTTTCTTCCATTGTCTTTTTACCATATGATAAAAAGGACAGTAGAGACCACCACTGGGGCAGGGGAGGGGGATGTTGTATGGGTATTTGGATTAATTTTAAGTACTGCTGACTTCCCTTCATGAATCCTGGTTGGTAGGGAGGGCAGCAAGTTGTCTTACATGAGATTCTGGTTTCTCTCTTGTAGCACTAATTCAACCAGAACTCTCTAGCTAAGACGACTACGGTAGTGTTACTAACACATCAATAGGAATGGACAAAAATACTTCAAGTATCTATAATTTCAGATTATATATCTATAATATAATAATATAACATATAATATATTGTGTTATATAATAAGTGACATAATATATAATATAATCTAATATACAATCAATAATACAATAATGCTCAGACTCTGGGCATTTCCATTGTCAATGTAGATCACAACTCCTTAGGACCTTGGAGAATTTCTGGAATCAGAAATTTCACCACTGTTGCCTTCCTTCTGAGGATTTGCCTCTAAATGTAGCTAGGCTGGCCCTTGGTTGATAGATATACAGCTGGCCCCTTTCCAGCTTGGTAGGGAGAGAAGGAAGGAATAAGCATTTACATAGCACATATTATGTGCCAGACATTGTGCTAAGCACTTTAAAAATATTATCTCATTTGAGCATCATGACAACCCTGTGAGGTAGGTGATATTATTATCCCCATTTTTACAGTCGAGGAAACTGAGGTAGAGGTTAAGAGACTTGCCTGGGGTCACACAGCTAGTAAGTGTTTTAGGCCAGACATTTAGGTCACTTAACTCTGTCCCACTCCCTTTAACTCAGGTGTTCCTGGATCTAAGCCCACCTCTCTATCCACTGTGCAACTTACCCGCCTCAAGCTTACACTTTGTTGGCATAGCCTTTGGCCATCTCCGAGTCATTGAGACATTAGCAATGGATTTTAATGGAGGACATCTCAAGGATGTTATGGATTTTATAGGGACTACTTTAGGGATTACCCTACAAATCTAACCAACTTTTATAACATTGCTTCTATTGGAAAACAGATTAAGTCTCAAACCACTGATATACATAATACATTTGGGGAACACAGTCCATTCATAAGATGGTACTTTCCCAAGTGTTCAGCCTGATTAAACAAATATTTATTGAGCACCAACCGTGTGTTGTTTAGTATTCCCTCTACAATGATAAATTTCATTTAGATCGTAAGACAGCAATTTGCAGTTGCTGTTAACTTGCGCTGAAATTAGTTCTTAGGTTCAAACCTTTTTTCCCTCTCAGGGTAGATCCTTTTAAACAGAATCGATATCTGCTATAACTGTTGTTCCCTTTCCAGGTCAGAGTTAAGAACAGTGCTGTGCACATAGGAGCTCTTTCAATCACAAGGTTACAGAACTTTCAAGTTGGAAGGGACATTAGAAGCCATCAAATTCCAACCCGTACTGAAATAAGAATCCCTTCTCTACAACCTTATTGATGTCATCATCCACCCTTTGCTTGAAGACCCCTCAGTGATGGGGAATTGACCACCTCTTGAGGCTACATCTCCCACTTTTGGATAGTTTTAATTGTTAGGAAGCTTTTCTAGACAACAAGTCTAAATCTGTCCTTCAGTTTTTACCCATTGCTCTTGGTTTTGCCTTCTGAAGTCAAACGAAACAAGTCTAGCCTGCTTTCAAATGATGGCTTAAAGAATGTTTCAACTTGGGGCAGCTAGGTGGCACAGTGGATAGAGCACTGGCCCTGGATTCAGGAGGACGTGAGTTCAAATTCGACCTCAAACACATAACACTTAGTAGCTGTGTGACCCTGGGCAAGTATTGCCTAGCAAAGAAAAAAAAAGAATGTTTCAACTTTTAGAAAAATCAAACTATCTCAAATTCATGAGTCTACTTTCCTGCCTTAGTAAAGTATATATTATTGATTGGTTTGACTAAGCCTCTTTTCGATTTTTTCATTCCCAGCCAAATTGGCCTTCTTGCTGTTCCATCACCATACCTTTGCACAAGGTTTTTACCATACCTGGAATGTGCTTGCTTCTCACTTGCTTTTCTCAAAATCCTGTGTTTTTGTCAAAGTTCAGCTGAAATGCTTTGTCCTGCATAAGGCCTTCCCTGAACGCCCAGCCTTTGAATCTCTACTTGTTCTTTACTGAACTAGGTATTTTATCTCCCCGTCCCACCAACCCTTACCCCTTATCTTTATACAAGCCATCCTTAGTGCCTAGATTATATTTTCTCATCTATACTTTGCCTTTCAGCATCTTTACCTTCCTTCAAGATGTAGTGGAGGTGCCACCTATTCTCAGAAGCTTTCTTTGATGCTCTTGACATCCTTGAACTATCTTATAATTAACTTATCTCTGTATAGGTTATATCTCCCCTCCCCCACCAGGATGCAATCCCTTGAGTTCAGGAACTATTTGTGTTCCTAGCACCTATCTCAATGCACTAGGTATATGTTTAATAAATGCTTGTTGAGGTGTTGAGTTATAGTACTGCTAGGTCTGGGCAAATTGCATGATCAAGAGGGGCAGAGGAAGGAAAAGTCAACTCTTCTACTTTTTGAATGTTCCTTGGCTCTTCATATGGCAGCTCCCAGGGTAACTTTTAGGTATGTGTGCTTAGGGATGGTGTAGTACAATGTTAATTCTCTTATTTGATACAGGGTAGTGTTATGGAAAGAGTACAGGGTTTGGAGTCAGAAGAGCAGGCTTTTATACTAGTTACTTATGACTTTGAATATCAGTTTCCTCATCCATAAAATAGGGATGTAGGGACAAGATGTCATAGTAGATTGAGAGTTAGCCTCAGAGTCAGGGAGACCCAAATTTAGGTTCAATCTCAGACACACTAGCTATGTGACCCTGGGTGAACTACCTAACCAGCCTCACAGCTAAAGACAGAGACTCTTAAATTCCAGAGCTAGTGTTGGCCCTGCACTGGCTGAATCTCTATTCACAATCCTGAGTCTCCTACTCTGATGAAATCAAAGGGTTAGTTAAAAATAAAAAAGGAGATAACACTCAGTACCGTCGATGTTAGGAACGGGAGCAACAACAGATTAACTGAAAAACATAATTTGGACCAACTGGGGTTTATTGAGTTCAGCAGCAGGGCGATCTCACCTGAAGAGGCAAAGACTCCCCAAACGAACAGTACACAAAGTTTATCTAAGTTTCAAGGAGTGAGGAACATGGTAGGGGATGAGGCAAAAGTTGATTTGGTTAAGTCCCTGTTGCTAGGACTTGAAGCTGATATGGTACTGACCCTTTTACCCAGGTTCAGAGGTTTTGTGTAACAGGATGTGGGAGGCTAGGCTGTTTCTTAGAACAGGTTGTATAACATGGTACCATGGCATATCCTATTTGGGGTCACTTGCGCTGCAAGCACTAATGGGAGAGTACAGACACACATGTGTGAACAAAATGGAGTGATTCTCACAATAGAGTATCTCTGGATCCACATTATCTACCTCATAGGGTTGTTGTGAGGGAGGTGCTGCTATTGAAATGTAAACTCAGATTATGTCTAATGAGTTCTCATTTTTTTCCTTTCCAGTTCCGTGGCAGTGAATTTCAGCAGAGGGTATGATTAGATTAGTTTTCATAGCAAAAAACCAAAAACAATCCCCCCAAACCCCCAAAATAATAAAAACCCTCCCATCATGTGAAGGTTTGCTGGCCTCTCATTTGTTTACTGATACCTGAAAAATAACTTTCCCAGAGATGAAGGTGGAGGATCATTAGATTGGGAGCTCCTTGAGGACAAGGACTGACTTTTGCTACTGTCAGTGATCATTGAAAGATCTTGAGGAATGGGAAAGGTATCAGAGATCCAGAGAAGGGCAAATGTTTCAGTTTTATTTTTTTGCCCAGATTTTTTTTTTGGGGGGTGGGGCAATTGGAGTTAAGTGACTTGCCCAGAGTCACATGGCTAATGAGAGTTATGTGTCTGAGGCTGGATTTGAACTCAGGTCCTGCTGACTCCAGGGCTGGTGCTCTATCCACTGTGCCACTTAGGTACCCCTTCAGTTTTATTTTTTAAAGGGAAGTGAAGGCAGTCTGCAAACCACGGAAGAATGAATGAGCTTAACTTCTAAATCTGGTGAAATTCTAGAACACATTGTTCAGAATTTGATGGCTTGTGTGATACTTAGAAAAGGAAATTGATTATTGAAAGCTTGGTTTCAGCAAGAAATGACAATACCAGACTAACCTCATTTCCTGTTTTTGACAGAGTAACTTGACAGCTAGATCAGGTGAATGTTGTAAACATGGTATACTTGAGATTTCAGCAAAATATTTGACAAAGTCTCTCTATGTGGGAGCTCCCTTCAGTTATGCAGATTAACAACTCCTTTATATCACTGAGTCACAAGTAGTTATTGGGGACACTGGAAAGTTAAATAATATGTCTATGGTCACGGAGGTAATATGTGTCCGTGGCAGGACTTGACCCCATCTCTGATTTTAAGACTGACCCTCTATCCACAGTGTCATACTACTTCTCATAGATAGATGGCATCCTTGTCAAATATGTAGGTGACATGGAGCTGGAGAGGACCACTAACACACTAGGTGATAAGACTTCAGGAATCCACAGGCTAGAAGAGAGTCTTGGTCAGATACAAGTTGACTAGATGCCCATTGGGATCTTTCCTAACTGTGAGAATATTAAATTCTTATTCAGAGGGACTTTGCTTCTACTTCAAAGTAGATCAAAAGTAGGCTCTGAAACAGAAGTGAGCCATGTTTCTGATGATCTATGAAGTACAAGCATCATA